CCATAGCCATCATGCTGTATAATAGACCCCGAGGCTTATTGGTACCTTATGATTGAGACTTTGTACTCCCTTACCAACATCTGCCTACTCCTCAAACTTCCCCACCATGCTTCTATCTGCTTCTATGTGTTCAGCTTTTTCTGATTTTTAAAAAAATTCTACATGTAAATGAGATCATGAAGTATTTCTTTATATATTTTTTTCCTGTGTCTGGATGGTTTCACCTAGCATAATGCCTTCCAGATTTACCTGTGTTGTCACAAATGTCAGTATCTCCTATTTTTTTAAGGCTGAATAATATTTCAGTGTGTGTGTGTGTGTGTGTGTGTGTGTGTGTGTGTGTGTGTGAAGCATTCTTTTCATTCTTTTTGCATTCACGTTTTGATGGACAGTTTGGTTGTTTCCATATCTTACTTATTGTGAATAGTGCTACAATCAGCATGTGAGTGCAGATATCTCTTTAAGGTACTGACATTCATTCCCTTTGTGTATAATCTTACAAGAGTGATTTCTGCATCATATGTTAGTTCTGTCCTAATTTTATGAGGTATCTTCATATTATTTTCCTTAAAACCCAAACCAATTTACATCCACCCAGTGGCTAGTGTTCCTTTCTATCATTTTAATGATGCTTATCCTGACATCTCTAAGGTGACACCTCATTGTGGATTTGATTTGCGTTTCTCTAAGGAGTGATGCTGAACATCCTTTTACATACCTGTTTGGCCTGCTATTAAATCTTCTTGGGAAAAATATCTTTTCAGGTCCTCTGCTCATTTTTGATCAGATTGTTTTTGCTTATTACTATTGAGTTGTACGAGTTCCTTATACATTTTGTATACTAACCATTTATTGGATATGTGGTTTGCAAATRTTTTCTCCCATTCTGTGGGTTGCCTTTTCATTTTGTTAATTGTTGCCTTTGAAGGGCAATTTGATGTAGTCCCACTAGTTTATTTTTGGTTTTGTTGTTTGAGCTTTTGGAATTATATCAAAAAAAAAAAAAAAAAAAAACACCCAATGCCAAGGCCAATATCAAAAAGCCTGCTTGCTGAGTCTTTTCCCCCTGGAAGTTTTATGATTCAGATCTTTAGTTTAACCATCCATTTTGAGTTGATTTTTGTGTATGGTATAAAATAAATGTTCAATTTTTTTTTCTGGATATCCAGTTTTCCCAAAACCATTTATTGAAGAGATTATTCTTTTAGTGTAAGGGTAGAAATTTTTTTCTTGTTTTAACCAAAAGAGGAATTTTCAACTCTTTCTTTAAATCTGGCAAAGAATTCGCAAAGCACAACATCCAGCACCTTCATTTATTTGACAATATTTATTGATTTTCTTTTGTGTTCTGAATATTATCAAACCTACTGGTTCAAATACAGAACCAGTAGCTCGAAAAATATTAGTATTTTAAATGAAGTTTGTTACTGACTCATGCTGTTTTGAAAGGAAAACAAGGAAGATATTTTGAAGCTAGAGCTAGCAGTGGTGGTGGTATGGAGCGGACAGTGCCAGGGGGCAGGTTGGAATGTCTCCCCAGTCATATGGAATACATAAAGAAATCAGTCTTGTGTGTCACAGTTCCCAACTTCAGAAAAATTCCTCAAGTTTCGTTTTATTTTTCATGATAAAAATTATATTTGAGAGTGCATGTAGAAGAGAGAAAATCTAATCAATTTAATAGTTCTCTCTTTGGCACAGTAGCTATGTCATACGATAATGACATACATGTCCAGGCTCTCCCTGGCTCCAGGAAACCAGTGAATGAGCCTCTTTCTTTCCTAAGAATTTGAGTTATGTGCTGGTATCACCCTGGGATTCATCCTTCAGAGTGTATTAAATGACTACTGAGCAGATTTATGCACTAGATACCATGCAAGATCCTAGGGTATTAGGATCCTTTTTTTATTGTGTTAAATTATACATACAATAAAATGTACTGCTTCAATCCTTTTATATGTACAGTAATTCTGTAGCGTTCACATTGCTGTGCAAGCTGTCACTCTTTTTTTTTTTCTAGTGAATATTTGGATTTGAACCAACATCTCTGTTCCAATACCTACTTTTTCTTAAAGGGTGACAACAGATAATCCACATGATTAAACACACATGTACAATGTGCACACTTCTTGTTCATCATTATCATGAAAAATAAAATGATACTTGAGGAATTTTTCTGAAGTTGGGAACTATGACACACAAGCCTGACTTCATGTGCATTATTTTAGCCACCTCTTGATACACAATAGTTCATATGCACACCCAGCCACACTTACAGCCAGCCATGTACACACCCAGCCACATATTCAGCCAGCCATGCACATACCCAGCCGTACATACACCCAGACACACACACCAAGTCACACACACACCAAGTCACACACACAGCCAGCCACGCACACACCCAACCACATATACAGCGAGCCATGTGCACACCCAGACACATACACACACAGACACAGACACTCTTCCAGCCAGCCACACATACACACAGACACACTTATACCCAGACACTCAGAGTGATAAATCACTGTCCTTCCCACCCTCCTAGTATTTTTTCCTCTTACTTTTAGAAAGATATTTTTTGAACTCTTTTCCTTCTCTCTCTTCTATTGCACTTTTTACTTTTAATCTCTCCTGCTTTTTCTTTAAATTTTTGGAGGGAATTTAAAAGTAGTCTTTTAAAAAAGACTATTCACGAATAGTGCTTCAAATTTTCTTGGTTTCATGGCATCCTTAGCACCCTGGTCATTATTTTCATGGAACTCTGAGTTAAAATGTGTACCTCACAGATCTAGTAAACTAACATTAATGGGTATTTATGTCCTAATAACTTAATGGCCCTTTTAAAAAAATATATACAKAAGAATTGGAAGCAGAGCTGCCTTTATTTTATTCTTAGAAACCCACAATTACTTACTACAGGGACTATATGCCTGTTGGATACTGCCAAGTCCTAAAAGCTTGTAGTCACCTTATACACTGTCATCCTTATTATTCCATGTTGGTCTTCATGCAGCATTGGCATTTATATTCAAACATCATCAAAATCCAACTTTGCAGGGCTGTGATGTCATTGAAAGAAAAATAGCATGATCTAATATGCAAATTGCAAAGGATTTCAAGTTAGTATTTTGTGTAGGACCAAATGGATTTTGTTGTTTTATTGGCTTTATTTTGAGTGCGGAATCAAACATACTGAAAATATTTCAGCAGTGCCTGTGAATTTACTGTCATACTGTGGGGCACCATGACACAGTTGGGGAACTGCTGGCTTTATAGCAAAAGAATTACATTTGAGTTAAAGTAAAATAATGCCAAGTGTTTGAAATGGAGGTAGATGTACCAAAAGTATTAATATTCAAAGACCCCATAATGCCTCTAGATGCTGTTTTTAAAAAGTTTGTATGGATGGATTAATCTATCATTTCATTCTTGTATGAAAAATTTTAGTTTTCTTAAGCACTTGCCTATAGGATGAAAAATTAACTATTTTGTATTCAATTGCATTTTTATCATTGCTTACTGGTGTTTTCTATGTTATTTCATATTATCCTTTTCCTTAGATAATTACTGTTTTAGGTTAATTTAGTTTTTGGACTTGTCCTAAGAGTCTAACAATGCAAGATTTCTGATGTAGAAGAACGTACTAACTTCTAATAATGACAAACATCCTTCTAGAACCTAGCTTGCTTTTAGTAGGAGACCTGCTAGAGATGCTTTGTGAAGCAAGTCAAGAATCACTCTGTTGTTCTGAGATTTCGTTGTTATCTGTCCAAAAGGCAGGCTGGCTTTTGGTACAGACATTTTGGTTTGTTTTTGTCTGGGTTTTACCCTCTTGGTTACTTTTCTTGTATGATGTGCTATCCTACATATTGACTCCTCAGCAGATCTTAATGGCAAGGTTGGGAGAAGAGACCAAAGGGAAGATTGATAAATTGCCAATGGAATTGTCTTGTTTGACCTTTGCTACCTTTAGACTGATTGATCATCTTGAGCTTAAAATCCACAAACTCCCTACGGGCATTAAATCACATTAAGGATCTGTCTTAATCTGTTTGGGCTGTTATAAAAAACATACCAAAGACGGAGTGGCTGATAAACAACATAAATTTATTTCTCACAGTTCTGGAGGCTGGTAAGCCCAAGGTCATCAATTCAGTGTCTGATGAGGGCTTGCTTTCTTATAGATGCCTGTTGTTTTGCTATCTTCATGCAGGGGAAGGGTGAAGGACACCAATCACAAACTTCTATAATTCTGAATTTCCCTCTTCTAAGGTACTAATCACTTCTGAAAGGTTCTGCCTCCAATACTTTAGGAATTAGGATTTCAACATATGAATTGGCGGGAGGGGACAGAATATTCAGTGTATGGGAAGATCCAAATGTATCAGTTTTATATATTTAATTAAACATCTTTTAAGAGAAATGATAACACATTAGGAACAGAATGTATTAGCAATTMTTTTTGCTTGAGAGCTTTAGAATACAAACATAAGCATCAGGTATGGTGAAACACACCTGCCATTCCAAAAACTCCAGAGGTTGGGGCAGGAGGATCTCAAGTTCAAGGTCAGTCTTGGCAACTAAGCTAGTCTTTATCTCAAAATGAAACGTTAGAAGGGCTGAATATGTAACTCGGTGGTAGATCATGACTGGATTCAGTCCCCGATACTGGGAGTGGTGGTTTTAAGAAAGAGAAGAAAAATAATATAATCATAAGAATTCTTTGAATATATAGAAACTGCTAAATATAAAAACAGAACCAAATTTTGGCATTTAATATGTTTTTTTAAATGACATCTAGAAAATAATGTCAAGTTTAAAGTGTTATTATTATATAAACCCAGTATGTTATAAATGGATGTGTTTCAACCAGTGCATTTTACAAAATGAGGAATAGGTCACTAGCTCCCCTGACTTTACCTTACTCCTTAGGTAGAAAAGGCTGAATTGTTCTACTGATCTAATTTAGTTGGTGTTTTCTCTTTTCCTTTCAGATTTTATTGTTCTGATATCATCAACCTATCTTCTGACCGCTGGCTAGTATTAAGGTCAGTGCTATATTTATATTGATCATGAATAAACTGTAAAATACAGTAAAAGCATCTTGGGTCTTTAGATTGCTAGATTGAAAATATTCTTCTAAAGTGTGGTGAAAAGTTGAAATTGAGTAGAAATTGGATACACTTCAGACTTGGCTCTGGAGCAAGCATGGTCCTTCCTGATCAGTGTTTGTTTTCAGTTAGTACAATTTCTTAGGTTATTGAAGATTAGACTTCTTTCACTGTAATAGCAGAGTTTTGATTATATAAAAAGATCCAATTTAATCATTTATTTTATTAACTGGAATACCAAAAGAATGCTTTTTTTGGAAGGTTGGCTAACAATTTAAAACACCATCCACTCTGAATTTACAGAGAAATACTTTTCATTCCACAATTTAGGACCCACAGAGAATGCACTACCTAAGAAAAGTGGAGTTGAAATGCACTTACGAATCACAAATTTCAATTAATTAGCAGACTATTAAGATGTCATGGCTTTTGTTCTGTTTACTCATTAATTGGCTTTTATGGAAGACTCAAAACCAGCTTAACTGAGTTTAGAGTAATAACAGAGCCTTGGCAGGCTCTCCTATCAATAGGATTGGGATTTCATTTATCTCTTCTATTCTGTTCTCTAGAACATTTATTCGGATTTTAAAATAAAATTAAAAGCTAAACCCTGAAAGAAATGAGGACTTTGTTGCTCAGAAAGAGAGTAAAATGTCAGGCATTGCTAAACTTTTTTGTGTAGGATTTTCATTAATGATTAACATAAAGGGTAACACTGGTTTTTCATTTATGCTTACTAATCAGGAATTTTCCCCTTAAAGTCCGTATTTAACTCTTCAAACTGCAGTGCTAACATAGAGCAGGCACAAAGGAAACACGTACTTTTTCTAGCCACAATTCTGGCAATACATTTTAAGTGTTTGTTTCTGTGCATGCCCCCCCCCTACCCACAAACAAACTCAGATAAAAAAGACTACCATTATTTCTCTTTTATATACAAACTGTGTTTTTCTATCTTTGAATCTGTATGGAATTATGTAAATATAACATGTTGGAATCATGCTGATGGATAATTGGCAGCTTAATTTTAAAAAAGTAAAATTTCTACACGGTATGATYTAAAGTCTGTTGTATTGTTTTAAGTGTTGATATGGTTTTGAGTTGAATTTATTAAAAATGCTTAGCCCAGCTTCCTTTGTTATTCTCTCCTTAGGGTATTCTATGTCAACTTGTGTACATTTAAACTTGCAATTGCTTTTAAGACCTCTTAGACTTTTTCTACCCTTTTTTCCCCATGAGCCCCTATCCCATTCACTTGCCAAACAGAAATTAGAAGTAGATGAGGTTTTTGAAAACCATACATATTTGAATCAGGAATATTTTCAATGCAGAGGATTAAATTCGAATTGTCAATTTTTACTTTGATAAGAAGTCAACTCTTCCCTTTTCTTCTTGAATTAGAAGGAAATGCTTCCTTTTCTGATTTTTGTTTTCCCATTGATGTAGTCAACATAGTGATTAGAAATCTCACTCTGCTCTGGCCACTTTTCAAAAAGAAAAAAAGAAAAGAAAAAAGATTTTGTAAATTAAAAAGCACTGTTGCACAAAATCTGCCTTAACCTGTTCAGTTTCTTTTGTGGGAATATGAACATGGAGTGTGACTGGTCAAAATGTGAAAGGTCAGAATAATTTACATATTCTCAAATAAATATGCTAATTATATACATAATATACACAAAGAAATGGAAGCATATTTAAACATTTATTATCAGGTCTTTCCAACTAAGAAAAAAAGATGGTTAGAATATTTGATAATCAGTTATTTAAATCATATTTTGTAAAAACCACTATATTTAGCAAGCCTTTTAAAAATATATCAACTCATCAAATGGATAGATTTTCAAAACACATTATATCTTTTGAAAATGCCACTACCTCAACTAGAGCTAGTTTTTTTGGTTTAAGAAAAAAGAGTTTCCCTCATAGAAAAAAATGTTTTTTTGTAATAATATTAGCTGGGCAAAATGACTATTATTGCTAGAAATAGGACATCTAAAAGGCCATTTCAGTACTTTATGAATTCTGAGATGTGTATATTTTACATTAAAGTAAAATTGGATGATTCTATAGTTTGGTTGGCAACTTTTACTTTCTTTTTTGGTGGTAAATGATGTGTGTCTTATACTGGGTTGTATCTTAAAATCTATGAAATGCAATATTACTGATTCTGGACTAGAAAAAAATTCAATCTTTTAAAAATATTATAAAAAGGAATCAGAGTCTACTTCTACAAATTGATACTGCATGCAATGTTGGTAGCAAACATAAACAAATTAGTAGAAGTGTTATTTATAAAAGGAAGATGCTAGAAAGAGTCTTGRTTGTTTAATAATAGGTAAATTGTGAAGAAAATCACAGAATATCCATAAGGTAATGTAAATATAACATGTTGGAATCATGCCGATGCAACCATTAAAAATCACCTTTCAATGAACTGGAAGTTACAGGATGCAAAGTCTCATTTCAAAAAACAAAGCATGACAGAAACTAGAAACTAAGAAGGTAAACTTGCTGCTAACATTTTTCTTTTTTCTTTTTCTTTTTTTTTAGTACTAGGAATTGAACTCAGGGGCACTCATCCACTAAGCCACATCCTCAACCCTATTTTGTATTTTATTTAGAGACAGGGTCTCACTGAGTTGCTTAGCACCTTGCTTTTACTGAGGCTGACTTTGAACTTGTAGTCCTCCTGCCTCAGCCCCCAAACCTCTGTGATTACAGGCATGCACCACCACCCCTGTCACTTGCCACTGATTCTTTTTATTATTATTATTATAAATGGACACAGTATATTTATTTTGTTTGCTTATTTATATGTGGTGCTGAGGATCAAACCTAGTACCTCACATGCATGAGGCAAGCGCTCTTCCACTGAGCCACAACCCCAGTCTGCCACTGATTCTTAATAACATTTTAGATGATAGTTTTTGCTTTTTAAAAAAATGTGCACTTATTTTTCTGATTTATTTACTTTTCTTTATCATTAACACTGTCACCAGAACTTTGGTGTAAAACCTTCCAGTTTTTGTCATGCTTTGTTGTTCGAAATCAGACTTTGCATCCTGTAACTTCCAGTTCATTGAAAGGTGATTTTTAGTGGTTGCAGACTGTTTTATCCTATTGATATTGTGTAATTTACTTCACCATTTACCTATTATTAAACAATCTAGACTTTTTCTAGCATCTTCCTATTATAAATAGAACTTCTACTAATTTGTTTATGTTTGCTACCAACATTGCATGTAGTATCAATTAGAATTATATAATTTAAGGAAACTAATATATTCGAAGTGACAAACAGATACATTGTGTGTGTTTCCTGGAGTTGTTGCATCAGTGTGCCCTTGCCTGGTAACATATGAAGTGAGAGTTTCACAATTCCAGTGCCATGTTAGAATTAGGACTTTAAATTTTCTCTCTATTTGGTAGGCAAATAATGATTTCTCAATTTTTTATAATTTAATATGAAATAGGAAACAGATACTTATGAAGGAATAGTCATGGGTCATTAAAAATATCGGTCTAAGCAACATATTTTCCTTTTTAGATAGAATTACTAGGTAATGTTAATTCCACTGACTCTCTCACTCTCAGCCTGGGAAGACTGTTAAATCTTACACTATTGAAGCAAGAATCAGAAACAGAATGATTTTCACTGTTAGAAAAACAGAAGTTGGTGCTAATTACATTAAATCTGGTTTTCTTGAGAAAGAGGTTGAGAGCCCGAGGAACGGAATAAGGGTGGCAGCTTTAACAGAGTCCTCAAGTTTACTTATAGCTGAAATGTTGCTCAGCAAGTGATTTAAGGTACAACAGCTTTTTTGCAAGTGTTTGGATGTTGTGATAAGCACTGAGATATTGCACAAATCTGAAGGAAATGATGAGCCATAAGTCTTGCCTGATGCTTAGATTTTATGAATTTTGACTGCAATGTTTTAAAAATATTTAGAATATTTTTCTAAATTGATGCCTAGTGTCTTTTAACTTCGAAAAACGAAAAGTTAAAAAGAAAATATTATTGCTGCCTTATCTGTGATTCTTCTTCATCCGACAAATGATCATTTTCCTTTATTCTTTCCTAATGTAATTAGGAGGTAGTATATATATTCTATTAAGACACAACCTCCAGCCCCACACTACCCCACCCTGAAAGAGCCATACTAACCTTGGGGTAGACACCGAGTGCTGAGGACTGTATTTCTTTCCATGGGATTTTTGACACTAAGAAGACTTCACTGTCTTTTCAATTGCTTTTTACTATATTACAGTGCTCCTGGTGGTCTTGGTTGAAGCACATATGTTTGAAATTAGATGAATTTATGGTTTCTTGGTGCTTTGAATCCTTGGTAGCTTTGCATATCTTCTTAGAGTGGCAAACAAATAAGTGGACATTCTATAAATCTTCCTAGCATCTCAAAGTCACCTGTGGCATACATCAATACAATAATTATAATATGGATATGTATCTTCCATAAAAATACTATTATATTATGCTAAATAAGGATAAAACAGAATAACAAAACAATTACCTTTCTCTTGCCCCTGTTTTTCTAAAATCCCTAAATTAAACAACCATGATTTCCTATGATCAAATCAATAATAACTACCTAAAATTGTTAATCAAAGGCTTGAGTTGGATTCCATGTTCCAAAACATTCTGGATCTCATGCTTCTTTTCTGCCTGGATCTGGCCTCTGGTAGTTCCAGTGTGTGTTCCTGTCTTGACCTCTGACAGGGCTTCTCAACTGAGCTGCTGGCAATGCCCTCTGATTTTATTATGTATAAAACAAGAACATTAATTTATACTTAATTTGAAAATTAAGTGAGAAAATGTAATACTGTGGATCTTAAAAATGGAAGTTTTCAATCCTTTCTTCACTTTAAAAAAAAAWTTTGTTGTGCAGCCCCGGGGATTGAACTCAGRGCCTCACATGTAT